TGGCCGCTTTTCAATTAACATTGTCAGTTTGATGCGTCCCTCAGTTTGAACCGAATTAAAGCCGTTGGAATGGGGATTAACAAACGGCCGGAAACCCATACGCTCACACATGTCAAGCTGTCGAAATGTCCATTTAATTAGGCTGAAATGAAGAATGTGATAAGGGTGTGAATTAAGGAGTTTTTAAGCTAGTGCCACACGCACCGAGTCTATTTATAAGCAGTCTGTATCCTGAATCCCTCTTTGGGCCCGACTCAAAGTTGAAAGTTAATTGAATTTTGTTTCTGTTTTACTTTCGGATTGCAAAGCGCGTGATAGAGGCGAACATTACATTGGTTTTCTAAATACTTTAAGCTGCGTGGACCAAACACTCATCAAGGCATGACCATAAATACGTGCATAAATTTGGGAACCATTAGTGATTTACAGGCGCCGAAAGTTCTGGCAGCGATTATCAATACAATTTGCCAGCATGCCAGCACATTTATCATGCAGATACATGTCCCAAACTAAGTCAGAAACAGACATTTTACATATTTCTGCCAGCGCGAAAAACCTCGTCCACGAACACAAAATGGGCGTCGAACAAATTTACCTTAAAATTTGTTTCGCACACGCTTACAGCTAAATAAATAAGCTACAAACAAACAGAGTACGCCGAACCGCAAACTCAAATGAAAATACCATCGCAAACTGAAACTCAAACCCGCAAAAGTATGCAACAAAATTGTAAACTCATGACGCAGCCAATTTATATGCACAAAATAAAGCGAATTGAAACGAATCAACAATGAATTGAACACAAAGCCCTCCGTTACAAAGCTTGCAAATGTAGCGGGATAGAATACTTGACACCCATTAAAATATGTGATTTTTGTTTTAAAATATTATATACGGTGTTTTAATAATAATTCACTTAAATTTAAATTTTGTACAGTCTCTTATTAAATTATTGTAGCTTGAAATAATTGATTCTTAAATTATTTATTATGTTTAAAGACAGCTGAATAGATATATGAATTAGATATATAGCCGGCATTTGATATTTGATATCCCCGAAGGATTGCTGGAAATCTCGCATTGAAAACCCAAAAGAGTTTTAGCGAGTTAAAAAATTGAAAAACGCTCGCCCAAATGCGATGATTTTGCGGTCGCCAGCTAAACTGATGCGTATCGGCGGCTTAGGCTCTGGACACAAGGCAGCGGGCAGCAGGAAAGGGCATAAATCAAGGCGTATTTATCATAAATCAAATTGGATTCTCATCAACAGGCCGCCCACTTTCTCCGCCCCATCCGCTTATGGTTCGTGGTTTCTGGCTGATGTGTTTGCTTGGCGCGCATATTTTATTTATGATTCTTTTCCAGTTGGGTTGCGAATTTGTTTTGTCTCTATCTGTCAGTGCTTCCGCTTCGGCATCGATTCCCGACTTTTCCTGATTTTCTTCATCGGATCAATCATTGTCTCACAATAATTCGGGAGTCGGGAGATGTAAAGCAGGTGAAGAGGAACTGGCAGGCCGATTGACAGCCTATTGCCACTAACTTATACGATTGACGTGGCATTATCAACTCGCTGAAAAAAAGCGAAGAGCCTGGCATTGGAAATGGCCAGAAACCCACACTTATCGACATTTTGCCTTGACCGTTTCCACAAATTACTAGACACTTTTCCTAGGGCACTTTGAGTACGAAATATCTTGCAGTCATCAGCTATTAGTTGAACAATAAATTCACTTCAACATTTCTTATTCGCCTCCTCGTTGCTCTCATTTTCAAAAGGTTCAATGATGTGTTAAGGTTAGCGGCCAAAACATTTTTTGTTTGGTTTGTAGGACAAAAGTAATTGGAAATGTTTATTTTTAATAAATAAAAGTTCTAAATTTCATAAAATAAAATCATAAAATATTTTAAATAATGTATTTATATAATTAAATAATTTGTGACCAGGTAACCCATTTTTAAACCGTTAGGCTAGAGAAAAAAACACAAATTATCACGCAGCTTTACAAAAAGTTTCGTCTTAGAATCTTTGATTTGTCAACTAAAACTAAATGTTAATATATTTGGTTGAAGCACTAGACTGTGATCGATTTAAAATAATATGATGATAATATATCAATATTGATGTACTAAATGTATAGGAACTTTAATAATGTGTATTTTGTTTTTATGTTTTCTGTCCTTAACATAAATAGTAATACCTATTATCAATTATCAATAAATACCTATTTATCAACGGAGACCTATGGTGTTTAAGCAATATTATTAGCTACTCAATTTATTCATGTATAATCGTTGGCATCGTGTAAATAGATAAAAGCCATATATTTTCCTACAGTTCACACCTTTATGTATTTTGAATTTCTGCAGCTGCTCAATCATTTTTCATTCGTTTTGCTTGATTCACTTCACCACTCTCACTGGCCACTTTGTGAAACGGGGTATATAAGACCATTAGTTTTTGCGGATATGGGCAATTTAGTTGGCAGAAATTTCGCAAGAACTGGTATCCAATAGTCGAAACTGGAAAAATACATTTTGTATTTTTCAGCTGCTTGTTCTATCTGGATTTGTGGCACTTTTATTGAACACCGACCTGCATTAAAAAAACATATTTTATGGCACTCTGAGAGCTTGTTACCCCGGTGTTTGCGCTGTTGTCGTTGCTTTTGTTTCGAAAGTAAACAACTCGATTTATTTTCTTCCTTTTTACACCGGTCAGACAGCAGGCCACTTGCGTTTGGACTGCTGCAGTTATATTTCTGATCGCTGGTCTGTTTAATGAATTTTTGTATTTAATGAATGAACAACATTTTTCTTGTTGCCAGCTCCTGTGTGTGGGTATTTTTGTCTGTTCTGTTCTGTGCAGCTCGTATGTGAATTTTTATTCGTTTCTCTTTGCCAATTGATTGGAAATATTTCTTTTCATGTTTTTCAATTTGAAAACCCAAAAACAAGAGTGCGCAGTGGTGGGGAAAACAAAGAGGCACGTGGGGAACGGTGCAGCTCCATTTCGCCCCCCTTAAATCTCTGTGGCAAAGTGCTTTTGAGCGATGGCATATGAGCACCCCCCTTTGTTTAGATAATAATAATTTTTGCCATTTTATTTCGGTTTGCTGGGGTTCTCGTCTCGATGTATGTTCTCTGGCCGCCTGACAGCTAATGTTAGCTTATAAAGCTTTAATTTATTTTGTTATGATTACTGATTATCTTGTTCATAAACATATTCGGGCTTCTCTTATGGTGATTGCTCGACCAGAAAATATTTGGTATTTACCCAAGTCGATGAATGACTATTGTGGTTGCAGTTAAACGAATGCGAATTTCAAGTAAAATATTTTGATATTCTGTTAGCATCTGCAGGAAAATGTTACTGCTTTGGCTTTCCCTTTCTCAATGTTTGCAAACTTCCCCTAGCTGAATTTGATTTAGTATTAACATTTCAGCACGAGCGCCACATTTAAATTAATTCAAAAATGTTAAATAACTGTTGAGCTACAGATGAAAAACCGGAACAAAAAAAATAATTCTTTTTTTTTTTAACTGGCATAAAGTTAAATTATACCATAAATTAGTAAGCGAAAATTAAGAAAAGCAAATGATGTTTGTACACTTAAAAAGCTATTTAAAACCAAATGAATGTATAACATTTTGCACGCCTTGCTAATTGCAAATAGTAAATAATCAAAAAGCACTTATTAATTATTAAAAAACACTTCGATAAAGCTTTCCAACGTATAAACAAAAAGTTAATGATTCGCACAAATTGCATTTTGCAAACAAGGCATTTAGCTAATATTTAGCAATGCTTCAGTTACTAAAGTCGCTTTATTTGACACTAGAAATAGGTGCTGCTTATTTTCATTATTTGTTTATTTAAAGCAAACAGTTAGACTTTCAATTTTCTTAATTTATTTTAGTTTTTGCTTTTGTAATTTATAAATTATGCATTTTTTTACATTTATTTCCTAAGTTTGTGCCATCAACTGAAATATTTTTCCTCCTTATCTTTTAAACCTACCGTTTTATCATATTTATTTAACTAATAAGTTACTAAGTTTGTTTACAATTGTAGATATAGAAAATGACATTCAACAAAACTTTTTTTTTTTATTTTCGAATATCATAAGAACAAAAACCTTTACTGATAAGTTCACTTATATGTTATTTATTTAAGCGAATAGTAAGCCAAGAGCTAAAATGTTGTGGTACAAGGTTCAAGGGTTTTAAATCATATTTTTATTTTTAAAGTTTTTTTTTTAAATTTTATGTATTTTTATATATATATTGCAGGTAAGTATTGCAGGTTCAAGGGTTTTAAATCATATTTTTATTTTTAATTGGAAGTTTTTTTAAAATTGTATGTATTTTTAATTATATATTGCAGTTAAGTTATAAACTTGTAGTTTTTTTATCCATCTAACGGCAGGTGTTTAAACGAAATGAGTTAATTATACGTAAATATATGTAGACATTTCTAGCAAATATCATACAAGCCGACAGTTCGATGTGGCAAATATTAAACTATTACTTAAACTATGGCAAATATTTATTATTCAGTTTTCTTTCTTGACATTTCCCCGCCAGTCAGTGTTTCATATTCCCAATGTTCTGCAGTGGTTCTACTCTCTTGCATGCGATTTTCCCTGCGTTTGGGTTTTCTGGTAGAGATTTTCCCTGAATTTTCAGTGCTCTCGCGCTCTGGCTCTCGCACTCTCTCTCGCCGGCTGAGTTTCCCCGCCCTGCAAAGCGGAAGAGAGAGAGAGAGAGTGTTGAGAGTAGACCCACTGACACAGTGATAAAGAATGGCCGTTGATAACAGCGCGCAGCTGTGTGCGTGCGGAGAGAGTTGCCGAGTGCTGTTATGCGATATAGTACTATATGTCGGGTGTACCGCCGTGCCGACACACTGTTAAGGCCACACGCACAGGTACGAGGCTCTGGCTCTCTCTTTGCACCGCTCGGGGAAATGCTGAACGCCTTCAAACGCTGTTCGGAGGTCGGCGGTCGCGCTTCCAGTTAAACTTTTACAGGCGGACCGACGGGTCTTCAGCTCTTCAATCGTCGGGCTCCGCAGTTTATCCGCGCTCGGCTCCCGAATTCCTGGCAGCCTCCCGCACAAAATTCAAATAATTCAAAACCATCAGAAATCAAAATAAATAAATAAGTTAAGAAGAAATATTTTCAGGAATTATTCAAACGAAAATATCCACATAAAACAAATATGGGGCAAAATTAAATCTGCTTGTGCTACTTGAAATGAATGAAAAATTCAATGCTATTAGTGTGTGCAAAACAAAAATAAATATCGGAAAATATTTGCATGTGTCTACATTAGTTTGAATGGAAAAGTGCTCGAGAGTAAATAGGCCGAAAGTCGAAAAACAAAAAATATCTTGGACAAACTTGTGCAGTTTCCATCTCACATATATTTCGGATGTTTTCCAATGCCAGTGCTATTATTAAAGTAATTTTTGCGACAATTGCCACCTGTTCGACAACTTTTGGAAAACACACAAAATTTATGCAAACGACTTCGAGAAGAAAGCCCATCCGATCCACAACGAGAGTGAGAGTGTCGGGAGTCGTTGACCCAGTGTAAGTCTCTGGTCCAATATTGTTCTGGATTTGTTTACCCCCAACCCCAGACCCCAGGTTGAGTACACCCGCGATTTTAGCACCTCAACACCAAATCTACCGACGATCTTTGTTATCGCCAAGTGTTTGTCGGAGATTTAAATACAAATTTATGGCAGGCAAACATTAATTGGATTACTCGGGCAGTCTTGGGCATTGTGGACAATTGACCTAGACCAAGGGGAAATAAATAGTTGTCACTTGCACAAAGTGATATTGTGGTTTGTGACTTTCTAAAGCTCTGTTCGGTAACTGTTTTCATACCTCGCTCTCTTCAAGGGCCCTCGGCAGGGACTTGAGAACTGGTAGAACTGTCAGCCACTGATATGCACAAACACTTCAGCCGGGGGCAAAGCTAATCAAATTACAAAGTCACAAGCCGCTTGATTTGATAATATGGTTGGGCTTCGGGTATTCCAAGGCATGTGCCAGAGTGCCATGTGCCCTGTGCCGCAGATGCCGCCGATTTCCCATCACTCCCGGGCAAATGCAGCTGATTTATCTTTAAAGTTGGCTAAATTACCACCGCACAGATGTGCATCCGAGTTGCGGGTGCGGCTTTTGTGAATAAATGTACACTTAACTGCAACACAGCGAGCTTAATTGCCCGAAACCAAATAAAACTCAGCATGCCAGCCGAGCTGGCTGACTGGTCCAAGGCAGTGGCGTTGCCTGAGCCAATTTTTTGGATAAATTTCGAGTACATAGCTCAAGGGTATATTGAACATAAGCGGATTATTTCTTTTTCTTCGGGAATTAGAAAATTGTAATTTAGTTCACTCAATTAATGCCAAATTATTGTTAGATATATAAATTGAAATTTTGATATCCTATTAAAATTCTTGGTTGATAAAAATATTTGTGTTTAAACAATAAGATTTAAAAAGCATTTAATAATTTAACTACCTCAATAATTAAATATATTTTAATAGAATTCAAGACATTACTTAGAAATATCGTGGGCATAATAGATAAACAAGGGTTTATCTATTTCATTCAACAAATCAAACAATATTTTATCTACCAATCGGCACACGTCAATCGGTTAAAGCTTTTTTATACAAATTTAGAAAAGTCAAATTGAAGGTTGAGATACTTGGTAAACATTTAAATGTGTAAATAAAATCATTTTCGGCTCGAGTGAATGACTAAAAATAAACACCTAGAAGTGTGTGTACTAGGTATCTTCCAGTTGCGAGTAGAGCAGCACTTGTGATTTTTGAAAATATTTATAGCAATTGCAGTAACTGCTGCGCGCATCCTTGAACATGAAAAGTGATGCTAGAGTGCTGCCAAAAGATGGCGGGACAATTTGTGCGGGCACTTACACTAATTACAGCCGCCGTGTTGTCCGTCACTTAAAGTGAGTCACGGCCACATGGTCCACACGTGTTTGCTTAAAGCATTAGGGCATAAGATGTCAGAGTGACACACTTTTCCGACTGCTGGAGCCGCTGCTGCTTCTGCTCTTTCATCTATTGTAAATTGACTCTCGAGGAAGAATGGTCGACACAATGGGGCGTATGCGTAATACGGTCGACAGTTTTCCGCCACTAACACCCTGTCAAGCATTGTGCATTGTCTGCCCGGAACATTACTCATACGCCAGGGTTGCTGCCGCAAAACAAACGGAACGCTCAAATCAAAGGCGACAACCCACAAACAATGGAGCTCAAAATGCCAGCAGGCATGGCGGAAATATAAAGTAAACTATTGTTTTGCCATATTGCGTCAGTGTTTTTTTAACTCTGTGTGCTAGCGAATATTGCGCATACGCCGCGTGGCCCCTTCGCATCTTAGCGACAGCGTTAATAAGCTTTTAATTAATTAATAATTAACCACTAGCTCATCATTGCTTGCTCAAAAAAGCGTAAAATAAGAGAGAGATAGGTCAGCCGGCTTTGTCATTTTCCCATTGTCTGCGGGGCTGCTGCTCACGCTTATCGTAATGGCCGAAAAGTTCTAATCGAGGCAATTAACGTGGCCAAATTTAATTTCCGTCCCCAAACGCTATCAGGCCCGCAGAACGAAAAACAGCGAAAAGAAGACGGAGCGAGGCGCTAGCTTTTTATTTACAATATATTAGTTTATGCCAGCCATTGGGAAATCCATCATGTAAGCCCGGCATTTCTCAGTTGCATGTGTTTTTCTTGTTTGTTCTTGGCTTCATTGTTTGTTCGTTCTGCCTATCGGTCTACTTGTTTGCCTTTCTCCTCTTTTGTGGGCCTATCAAACGAGCATGGCTTCCAGGTGTTTTCTGGAAGTTCGAGGAGTTCGGAGGGAGAGAGCGGCTGCCTTTGAGTGGCCATTAAGCAAATTACTTATGTTAATTAGTTGCCACGGCTAATGAGAAATCTCAAGGATTTGTAGTCCGTGATAAGTCAAATTTAAAGCAGAGCAGGGGCAAAAGAGCCTTTTGCTGATTATCCACCTTCCGCCCCAATTTAGCCCTGTTGATTTATGATGCCAGATTTACCCAAGCGAAATCTCAACTTGAAAGTCAATTTTACAATGCCCCGAGCCTTGCCACACAATGAGAATTCAATTTACCCCCCTGCAGCCCCTTTCTCTGGAGAACTGGACCCTTTGATCCATCAAATTGCATTTATTTGCCAGATGAGCGAACTGCAACAATGGTGATGCAACAGTTTGCAGCAAGAAACGCATTCGGAAAATTGCATAAATGTATGATACGGCAAAATAATTGACGAACAACTCGAGATTTCAAATAATCTGGACTTTCCGTTGTGGAGGCAAACAATTTTGATTTCAATTTACAATCAGCGGTAATCAATCTGAGTGAGCTAGGGCATTTCTGTAATTTTTGAATGAGAGAGCTATCAAGTTTAGCCTAAAGTTAACTATACTGCACTGTTCAAAGTAAAATACATTTTTTTTGTGATTTCAAAAATGAACTAAATGAACTAAGTAATCATATCTGCAAATCCTTTGCCGTTTATCTGGTTATCGAGTTATTTGACCCATCTCATTTGTGCTTAATCAATGGATAATACTAAAATCCCTTAACCAATTTAATGCCATGCAGATGTTTGCATTAAAATTAAAACAACGAAGGATTTGTTGGCCTTAAGCCGTAAAATAATTAAAAACGTAATTAGCTTCGTGCAATTCGCATGCATTAATGTATTCAAACTGCCGCCAGCTCAGATCCGATTGCAGCAAAAAGTGGGGGATGCCAGAATGGCTTTCAGGTCAGTGCGCCAGTTGGGAATAATTTCATTAAAATCAACTTTGGCTGCCCTGCCTGCGGTCAGTTGAAAGAAGATTAATTACTGACTTTATTTTGACTGGTAGTAGGCCGTGCAAATTGCGACTATATAATTCAGTATTGACGCAAAATCGATGGGATGTTGTGCAATGCATAAAAACTAATTAAGCCGCATGAATGCGAAAAAATTAATTCAAATTGCATCGCTTGACTCTAAGTAATAATAACAAGCATTAACTCCAGTGCATAATATATCTCAATTTTGCACATAATTAATGTCTGCAATTAAGTTCTGTTCCCCACCTTGTCTACTATATACATATATGTGTAGTACTCACACACACACACACACACTGGGGAACGCAAACAATCCACTTAACATGCTGGGAAATACCATTTGATCCTGCTATCCATCTCCTGCCGCATTGCGTATACGCAGCGTGTGCTGTGCGAGCCTTTGGCAACATTGTGTCACGCACATTATTGATAGCCCGGCGCAATCGTTTCGTCTTGAGTTTCCTTACGGGTCTCTCGGTTACAGCTTCTGGTTACTGCGTTGGGCAATTACGGCTCGTTGGTCCCTGTTTATTAAATCGACATAATTGCGAATTTAAGCCCGCAGCTCATCGCTGCCTTGACTGCCTCAGCCCCCAATCAACTGGATCTTCTACGGTCTGTAGCTGAGTGCTCTTCTCTGCCCAGTCAGCTTAAAAAGTTTTCCCGGCAAAACTGGCATTCACAGCAGTCAGAAACAGTGAACTTTATCCTGCACGCCTATCTTTTCAATTATGATTAATGATCAGTAATTAAAGCTATGAAAGCGACCTTTGGCGGACATACAAATTGATTAGAGATGGACACGTGTTTGTCGAAATAGATTATAAAGTCATTGAAAGTGAATAAGTCGGGGTGTATACAGACGTTACTAAATTTACAACGTGACGGTAAAATAAGATAAAAAGTAATAAGTGGGAGATACTTATTTCAGTTACATTTTTATTTAATAAACAAATTGTTAAAACCTTTAATTTTTATTTTAAAAATCTTAATGGTTGTTGCCTCATAATAAATTAAAAATCCGATGCCTTATAGAAATTTAATAACCAAAAAGGTTAAAATATTAAAAGGTAAATATTAAGGAAAACTGCATATTTTCAGCATAACGTATTTTGCCCCAAAACTAAATCCTTTCCGACCCAGTTGATAGTAGTAGGACTCGACCTGATGCTGTCACATCTTCAAGCCAGACACATTATCTTTTATTACCTAAATTGTATACACTTGAATGGGGCCCATACTCAACCCCTGACGCCACAGAAGTCACTCAGCATAAGTCAGGGCAAATGCTCAAGTGTTTTGGCTTTTCATTAATTAAATTGCCAGTTGGCTGGCCGGGCTGCAGAGACCACCTTTCTGGGCCCAGATTGTTTATGTTTTGATTAGGCATTAGGAAAATAGCACGGCCAAGGGCCGAAAACCGAAAACATGTTCGGGTGAAGTGCAGGCCCTCGAGGACCTTCGAGTGGAGCCTTGTTCTCGTGTCTCGAGGGTGCATTATGGAGCGTCCAATCATGCTGGGGGCCTTTGCCCCGCAGACCCATTAATCACCGCCGATGTCTGGCAAGACAGCCGCGAGTGTTTGCCCACAGCGCTTTGATGGCTAATTGCATACAAGCCTGGCGGTTCCGTTCCGTTCCGTTCCGTGCCGGCAGCACTCGTAATTGTAGACATC